GAGGTTTTGAGCTTTGGAGAGATAAAGATCTGAGATTTGGGGCTCATGACAGGTGGAAAGGTTCGGCGCCGGGGAAGGGGGGGTCTGCCGGTCTGGGCGTGGCCGGCGCCGGGGGTTGGGCTAGGCTGCTGGTCGGGGAGGGTTAGGGATGTGGTTTTTAAATTATTATTTTTTAATTATATAATAATTAAAAAATAAAATAAATTAACCATGGTTAGTGAATTTATATTAAAATAGCTATTAATGTCACTAATGGTTTAGTATAACTGATTGGAGTTTACCATGGATAATAACTTTTTTTGCAATACACCACTGGGAAAAATAAAAATTATAGCGCTACCAAAGAAAATTTCCCAAGTTAAAATTGTGGAATCTTCTGTTCCAAAAACTAACAGGTTCAACAAACAAAACAAAGGTGCTGCAAATTCCAAGAAGAACCAGAATCAAAAACCGCTCGGAGTTCAAAGTAGAAAGGCAACAATTTTAAGATGCATCTAAAATCGGGCAGAAATCAGACTAGAACAAGCTCATATTACTGAAGAATCACATGATGTCGTTGTTGTTGTAGTTTCTGAAATCAACCTAATCGGCAACAAATAAGAATGGGTCATTGACACCGAAGCCACCAAACGTTTATGTTCGGCACAAAGACCTCTTCATCGAGTTTCATGAGTTTACCATGGTTGATTAGGTTTTCATGAGAAATTCTAGTAGCTCCAAGTTTCTCGATAAAGGAAAAAACTCTTCTCAAGTTAAATTCTGGAAAATCTTTGTCTTTGAAAAATATTTTGTATGTCCCTTCCCTTTGTAGAAACTTAATTAATTTCTGGTGCTCTTCTTAACAAGGCTAGCTTGGTGTGAAACTTGTTTTTGAAGGTGATAAGTTAGTATTATCTCGTAATGGGGAATTTGTGGGGAAGGGATATATGTCTAGTGGACTGTTTTTTTAGAAATTGTATTTGCTGCTGATCATATTAATAACATCAAAATAAGTTTATATTGTTGAGTCTATTGATCTCTGGCATGCTACATTAGGGAATGTAAATTATGGTTCTATGAAATGCTTGCAAAAAATGTCTTTAATTCCTAGTCTAGTTGGTAATGCTCATAAATAATGTGAAATTTGTGTTGAAGCTAAACATTCCTAGAAACCTTTTAAAGCATAAATAATAGACTAACTAAAATGCTTGAATTGTTTCATATGGACTTAGCTGCCTTTAAGAATATTGAAAGGAGAGGCGGCAAGCGGTATTATATCACTTTTGATGATGACTACTCTAGATATACCAAAGTGTATCTGTTGAGAGCCAAAGATGAGGATGAACATATGTTTTTTATTTATAAAGCAGAAGTTGAGAACCAATTGGACGGTAAGATTAAAAGACTTAGGTCCGACAAGGGGGAGGGGAGAGTATGGAACCACCTTCTTAAATGAACTTTGTGAGAAAAATGGAATTATCCATGAACTTTTTGCTCCTTATACTCCGTAACAAAATGACATTGGTGAAAGGAAAAATAGAACTCTTAAGGAGATGATGAATGCTATGTCGATTATTAGTTCTGGTTTGCTTGATAATATATGTGAGGGAAGGCCATTCTTTCTGCCACTTATGTGTTTGAACAAGGTGGCCCATAAAAAACTTGATAAAACATCCTATGAGTTGTGGAAAGGCCATGCTCTAACCTTAAATATTTGAAAGCATGGGGGTATCTTGCTAAAGTTGCTTTACCTCCTATCAAATGAGAAAATATTGGACCTAAAACCTTTGATACCAGATGCTGTATTTGTTGGTTATGCTGGAAATAGTGCAACTTATAAATTTATGTGCTTAAATGATATATAAATCAATGTGTGAATCTATATATGTTGAATTTTTTTAGCATGTTTTCCCTTTTAAGAAAAATAATGTTTCTCGTGATGTGTCTACGTCTGCTTCTTTCTCTTCTTCTCTGCCTGTTCTTTATCATGTTATTCAAAATGATGATGTTGTACAACCTAGGAAAAGCAAGAGACGTAGAACTGAAACTAGCTTTGGTCCCAATTTTTTGATTACCTTCTTAACTGAAATCAATTATATGGATGAGTTAGATAAACTTATTGTCTGCTATCACTTGTTTGATGATAAGTCTAAAACGTTTGAAAAGGCTATGAGTTCAATTGATGCTAGTTTTTGGAAGGAAGCTGTTAATAGTGAAATTGAGTCTATCAAGTCTAATCATACGTGAGAACTAGTTGATTTGCCTAAAGGTAGTAAAGGCCATTAGTTGTAAATGGATTTTTAAAAGAAAACTTAGAACTGATGGTACAATTGAAAGGTTTAAGGCAAGACTAGTGATTAAAGGTTTCACATAGAAATTTGGTGTTGATTTCTTTTATACTTACTCACTTTTTGACTAAGATCGCCACTATACATGAATTGGCTTGCATTAGCTTCTACATATAATTTGATTGTGTATCAAATGGATGTAAAATCTATTGCTTTTTTGAATGGTGACTTAGAGGAAGAAATTTATATGGTTCAACCTTCAGGTTTTGTGAATCTCGGATAGGAACATAAAGTGTGTGAGTTAAAGAGGTTATTGTATGGATTTAATCAAGCTCCAAAATAGTGGTATGATTGAGAAGTTTCATAAAACAATACTTAGTTTTGGATACATTGTGAACCGTGCTAATGCGTGTGTGTACTCCAAAATGTTTGGATCTGATATGATTGTGTAATTGTCTGCTTATATGTAGATGATATGTTGATTTTTGGTACACATATTGATGCTATTAATGAAACAAAAGAATTTCTTTCCTCTCAGTTTGAGATGAAAGATTTAGGTGAAACTGATGTGATTTTTGGGTTAAAGTTACCAAAACTAGTAGTAGTTTCTATTTGTCTCAATCTCATTATGTAGAAAAAGTGTTAAAGAAATTTAACAGTTATGATGTTGTGCCTTGTTAAGACTCCTTATGATACTAGCATTCACTTGAAAAAGAATAATGGCAATAGTTAGGGCTGTCAAACAAGTCGTGTTGTGTTGGGTTCGTGTTCATGTCAATATTAAATGGGTTGATAAACCCTTGACCCAAACCTAACCCATTTATTAAACGAGTTGAAAATCCTTGATCCAACCCTAACTCGCTTATTAAACGGGTTACCCGGGTAACCTTTTATCCAATTACTTTATTAATTCATACAAGAGACTATAGAAGACTTTAAATTGAAATAGTAGAAAAGTTTGTTCGCCTAAACAAAAAATTTTGCCCACTAGAAGTTTTTACTAAATATCTATATATTTTTCGCAACTAAGTTTGGCAATAAATTTTTAAAACGTTGTTAAATAGCAAAGAATTTTTTTTTTTCATTGCCTAATTACAAGAGACATTTAATGCTTTAGTTTTTTTATAATTAATGGCAACGTGTTTTTGATTTGTTGCTGTTTAAAACAAATTGTCTTACCAGTTGTTACTAAATGACATCATATTTTTGTCTTGTTGCCATATGGCAACAAAGTATGGCAACTGATATTTTATTTGTATTGATTTAGAAACAAACAAAGGCAATGAATTTTTGAATTGTTGCCATTAGAAAATATTCTATAGATAAAAAAAATCGTAAACAAAATTCAAAGGCTACCTCTAGGAACTCGTATATATTAAGCAATATATGCCAGAACTATAGAATTGCAGGGTCAACAAATTATTTGAGCACCATCATCAGGTTACCACAATCCGATGGCCTTCCACCAAATGCCTCCAACTCCGAGCCAGATTATCAAGTTGGCTAAGCAGAGTAAACATTGCGGGGGTTGAACATAATTAGCATCATAAAATACTAAAACCAATACTATATAGAGTGTCTAGGTGAGGCCACCCATAAGATTGGAAAGAAAGGAAAGAACTATGGCTGCCAAAAAAGGCGCCATCCCTAATGCACTTGCAACTGACAAGAAGGCCGTGAACAAAACTATAAACGGCATCTAATCTGAACCATGAACACCCATAACATAGACAAGAAGGCCGTAAACAAAACTATAACTGGCATCTAACCACATGAACACCAATAACACAGACAATAAGGCTGTGAACAAAACTATAAACGGCATCTAATCTGAACCATGAACACCAATGACACCAATGAGACACACTAAGCATATAATAGCAACAACCGCTTTTGGTCCTAAACCTGGCAATCTTGACCCAGACCCGATGACCTGATCCATGACCTGAAATTAACCCAAATACGACTCGTAACCCGAAATTGACCCGACCTGACCCATACTCGACCCGAAAATAGAGTTGACCCGATCCTGACCCAACATTTGAATTGACCCGACCCGAAATTTACTAGAATTGTTTGACCCGAACAAACTCGATACTCAAAATTGACCCGAATAGACCCAATACTCGAAATGTTCCGAACTAAATACCTTATAATTGAACTAAAAATGTCTGGTGCCAAAAATAATTTAGATTGTTCATCTTCAATTGTAGCCACGCTCGTAAATCGAATCGATAGTTCTTAATATAACAATATTAAAATATAAAATTATTGATTTGAGCTAAATCCACAAATTAATTAAATGGAACAACCCGAACATACTTGACCCGAAAATGACCTGACCCAAAATCAACCCAAGCCATACCCAAAACCCAAATGATCCGACCCGAAATTAACCCAACCCGTATCCGACCCGAATGACCCATTTGCCAGGTCTAGCTTTCACTAACAATATAAAGTAGTCATATTTTAAGGACGACAATCTGAGAGACTATTCCATTTATGACATTGATCCGAAACAAGTTATAATTTATGCCAATTCAGAGCAGAAGAATCATGAAATGCTAAAAAAGGTTTACATACATCATTTACCCACTTAAATCCCAAATCATTGGTTTCCAGATTTCAATTCAATTAAATTTCTGCATCAAATTGAACAAATTTCAAAGAGGCGAAGAAAAAAGCAATTAAAAAAATCAAATTCAACATAAAAAATTGAACTAACTATCTGAATTAAATACGAGAAGTAAAATATCGAAGATTGCATTGATAAAATGGGTTCATAACGCATCAAAATCAACGAAAATACCCATAAACAAAATCATCATAGCATAGCAATTGTAGTGACAAAAATTCATCCAAAACCGATCTGAAAAACAAAAACTTAAATCCAACATTGAAAATAAACAATTCTTAAACCTCTATTCCTCTAAAACCTGAGTTTGGAGAAAAACCAACGATTCTTTCCACTCTTAAACCTTTCTTCAAACCTTGCCTTAGTCTCTTTCGCAGCAGTAACCTTCTTATCTTTCGATTGAAGAACATCAGCAGAAACAACATCTTTAAGATCAACATCAAGCGTGTAACGAGTAGGCATAATGTGATTGTAATTGACGACTTTAACGAAGCATTTAACCCTTGATTTCTTGGCCTGCTTCTTAGCGGAGTCCTTGCGAATGACCTTCTTCGGGTACTTATTGATGCCGGCGACGAGGCAGTGGCCGTAACGGCGGTCGCGGTTACCTTCGTCGAAGTTGCGCACGATCACGGCCTTGCGCCCGGCGTAACGGCCTTGAAGGAGGATTACGGCTTTCCCTGGTTTCATAATCTTCACCATTTTTAGGTTTCTCGTTCTCTCTCTCCTCTGGAAAGTAGGGTTTCGAGAAATGGGGTTTATTTGTTTATATTTAGGGTTCGGTATCAAATAAATGGGCTAGAAATAGTGAAATGAAATAAGATACGAAGCAAGTATTGGGCTAACGTATGACCATCAATTCTCTTGAGAAATCTTTTATGATCAGCCCACTCGGACGATTAGAAAAATTTTGTCCCAAAAAACTACTCCGGATCTCTCGAAATCGAGAGGAAAGCTCTAACCACTTGAGCTATTCTCCCACACTCACTGCGTTATATAATATAGTGAAAATAATAGGAAGAAATGTGAATAGTATTTTGGTAGAGCAATAAATAAAAGCAAACATGATGAGGGTATTTTAAATATTTAATAGCGTATAAAAAAAGGAAAAGATAATATCAGAACAATATTTTAGGACACCAAAACAGAAAAATGTAAGCTATATTATAAGATGGAGAGAGTAACTAAATTTTAGACACATACATGTCATTTTGTTTGAAATTATTTTATTTAATTTATCTAATGTTATTTAATATTATTTTTATTTGAACTTGTTTTAATTGAATTTAAACTTTTATTTTATTTGAAATTATACCCTCTTTGATTTGTTTTTAGATCAACTTATCTCACCCACCATAAGAGTCATCACTTGTTGTCTTCTTCCATAATTGACGACCGATCAAGTGACTCATGTCAGACAAACTAGTCTAAGTTTATTACGGAGTAAATAAGAACATGCACTAAATGAATACTTATTTCAAAAAGTTGGTTTTCAAATGTGCAACTATGTTTGAATAAATGGACCTAATTAGACGTCAACTCTTACGATTTTAAAAGTTAACATATGGAAGTGAAGGGGAAGTGTTTAGGGTAAAAAAATACCCCAACACGTGGTCCAACCTTATGGCGACACGTGGCCCTATAAAAGGGAGACACGTGTCCCAATAAGATGATGACACATTGCAAGGCATAAGAGCACCTGAAAAAGAGAAGGCCTCCTTACATCAGGAGGCCTAAATCTCGAGAAAAGCGTCATGACGGCGCCCTCAAGAGACACGAGTCTCTACCTGATTACGCCGCCAATTAGTGCAATATTTTTAGGGCACCAACCCTAGGATGCACACATTCCCACCTATATAAATATCCCAATCATTTATGATGGGAAAGATGGATTGAGACATATCATTTATTGCATAGTATATTGCTCTAACTTCTATCTACTTTCTCTCTTTAAATATTTTCGTTTCCGGTCACTAACTTGATCGTCGGAGGCGAATATTCCGTCAAACGGAATAGTCGTTGTTTTGCAGGTGTCTGCGGCCGTCCGGTTATATTCACGACCTATATCTCGAGGATTTCCAAAAAACCCCGAAACATTTGGCGTCGTCTGTGGGGACACATGTCTGAAATGGCTAAAGACGGTCAAACACCCGGTCCTGGTCAGGACGGACATGTAGAGAATATTAAAGTTACAATCAACAACAATGACCCTTTGACCGGATCATTTTATGAGGTTGAGGATCCTCCCGTAACAGCCGACTCTTTGCAAGCTGGTTTAGCTAAGCTCCGAAAGGAGTTTGAGGGCAGGTTACCCTCTTCTTCTAGGTAGTCGCCCAAGAGAGAAGGAGACGACACCAAAAAGAAACCCCATGCCAAGACGACCAATACTAAAGATGCGGGAGTTACTCCGTTCAGGAGGCAGCCGATTTCACCTAGGGTGCCTCGGACTAATTGGTCGAGGTGCTTGAGAAATCGAAGTCGGTTGGGGGGCAGACCAGACAGCCTCTAAGGCAGCCAAATGAGTCGTCGCAGCGCTTCAAGGACGCCAGAGACTACCTCTGGCACAAGCGGTAGGTGCGAGCCCAGCCCTACTATCACTACTACATTTTTAATCTAATACAACGGTACAAAATTAACTAATACAACGACTAATTTCATACCGTTGTATTAGACTAGGCTAATACAACGGTTTATACTAACCGTTGTATTAGATATAAGAATCCGTTACGGATAAAAAAAAAAAGTTGGGAAGGCCTTATAATTTGGGTTTTTCATTCTCTCCGTCTCTCTCCTCAATCTCTCAACCCTCTCTCTCACTCTCTCGTCTCTCTTTTCACTCCGTCTCTCTCCTCACTCTCTCAATCCTCTCTCTCACTCTCTCGTCTCTCTTCTCACTCCGTCTCTCTCCTCACTCTCATTCTCATTCTCTGCTTCTCTTCAAGCCTCAACGCCGACTGCTTTTCTCACTATCGTCGCCGTTCATTCTAGGTATTTTCGTTTTTTATATCTTGTTATTTTTTTTCGTTTTTCAGATCTTGTTTTTTCGTTTTCTGGGTTTTTTTTTTTTTCGTTTTTCTGGGTTTTTTTTTTTCGTTTCTGGGTTTTTTTTTTCATTTCTAGATTTTTTTGTTGGTTTTTTCGTATTCTTGTTTTTTTTTGGGTTTTTTTTTTTCATATTTCTAGTTTTTTTTTTTTCTTCCGTTTTTCAGGTTTTTTTAATCTGGGTTTCATTCGTTTTATTGTTTTCGTTTTGACTGTTTTCTTGTTTTCGTTTTTCTCGTTTTCGTTTTTTGGTTTTTTCTAATTCTTGATCTGGTATTTTCGTTTTCGTTTTTTGATTTCCAAATCTGGGGCTTTTCGTTTTCGTTTTTTGTTTCGTTTTTCAATTTTTCATATCTTCGTTTTTCAGGTCTACTTTTTTTTCAAATTTTTAGATCTTTTTTCAATTTTTCGTTCGTTTTTTCAGTTTTTAATTTTTCAGATTTTTTTATCTTAGAAAATGTGATAGAGATACAATACCAAAATTAAGATGTAAACTAAGAAGACATTGATCAGTTCTGGACTTGGACAATTTGGACACTTCTGGACAATCTGGACTTGGACAATCTAGTCAATTATGGACAATATAATAATAATAATAATAATAATAATAATAATAATAATAATAATAAACATCGGCACAACGTTGTTCTTAATACCCTTGTTGATGTTTGTTTCCGTTCTGGGATTTCTGCACGAAAGGAGGTCAACGTTGGGTTGTCTGGAGGGGACGACAGGGCTCTTCGACCAGCAGATGTGTTGCTTTACTCTTGGGATAGAGGCATAGATGTTTGTGTTGACTTGACGGGGTCCTCTCCATTGACACAATCTGGGTTGTCTGACTTCGTTCCTGGTCGTGTCGTGTAGGCTGCGGCTCAGCGGAAGCGAGACAAGTATGGGGCGCGTTGTAGGCTATTGGCTATGGTTTTCTTCCTTTATCCTTTTCTTCATTGGGGGAATTAGAGAAGGATGTTGTTGCATTGCTGAAGCAGGTTCAGGCGTTCGCTAGAACTCAGGATATTGGTGCTCGTGCGGCGGCTCACATCTTCAACATGATTGGGTTCGCTATAGCTAGAGGGGTGGGGGCCCAGATTGTATCTCGGCTCCCCACTAATTTCTTGTAAATTGTTTGACTTTGTAGGTTTTTGATTAATAATAATAATAATAATAATAATAGTAATAATAATAATAATAATAATAATAATAATAATAATAATATTAATATTAATATTAATAATATTAATAATATTAATAATAATACTAATAATAATAAAAAAAGAAAAGAAAAAAAAGACCTAATACAACGGATTGGGGAGCAATCTGTTGTTTTAGGTTCAGTTATTCCAAAAAAAAAAGAAAGGAACCTAATCCAACGGATTGCTCAATCCGTTGGATTAGGTCCATTTTTACCGTTGTATTAGACCTAATCCAACCCTAGAAAATGTGACGGTTGCTAGCCGTTGTATTAGGTCTAATACAACAAAAAAATCCGTTGTATTAGGTCAAAATGTAGTAGTGTATTCGGACACCGCCTCCACTCCAACAATGCTAGATTAATTCTCATACCAAACCCCCTCCAAGTATAATAGCTCGGCCAGGACCAGTAGAAGTAAAGCTCAAAATACTCAAACTTCAATTCCCTTGCCTCAACTACCTCAGTTTCAAATTCCTCATAACTATAATGCTAATCTATTGCCAACTCCCTAGTATATGGGCAGTATGGGCAATACGGCCAGCCGTACGACCAGGTAGCTTACCTGGCCGGACCGGCCGCCCAGCCTCTGCCAATTGATTGGCAGATGCGCTTGTTAGCTCTAGGTGACAAGCCGCCTCCATTTTCTCAAGAATTTCTAATTAAACTCTCCTTACCCTCCAAAGGATAAGAGTGTTCTTATGGGTGTTTATGATGGTACGGGTAACCCTGAAGAGCATATCTCCTCGTATAGGAACCTAATGCACTTGCAAAATGTGGACGATGTCACTTGGTGCAAATGCTTCCCGGTGGGTGTGTCTCAAGACTGTTTCAACAGTCTACTGCCCTGATGCATCAATTGTTTGATAACTCTAAGCCTGTTGTTCGTTAGAAACTTCTCCTACAATATACCACCCTGGAAGACTAGTCTTAACTTGGCAACTATTGTCCAAGGGAAGAAAGAGGGGTTGCGTTCGTACATTCAAGGTTTAACATAGAGAAACACAAATTCAGAACCTGCCAGATGAAATGGCCTACTCAGAGTTTCTTCAAGGTTTAATACACAATGGTTTCAAGTTTAACTTGATCAGAAACAAGATTCGGACATACGCTGGTGTTTTGCAGGAAGCCGAATCATATATAGAGGCAGCTGATTTCTCTTCGATTACAAAAGCAGAGGAGCTGGCCAAGGGCATTGAGAAGAAACCTTCTTCTTAGCAAGACTCAGCCGGTAAAAAAAACGAAAGGAAACAACAAAAAGAAAGAAGTCTAGGTGGCTGACTGCCAGTTGAACAAGTCCAAGAAAGCCAAGACGTACGAACCACAATATGAGTATAACACAAAACGTTAATCGATCTTGATGGAAATAAAAGACAAGTTTGAGTTTGAGAAGCCCTAGCCTTTGAGGGGGCCGACCTAGTACAAAAACAAGAACAAGTATTGCCATTACCACAAAGATGTGGGGCACGATACGAACGAATACAATAACCTGAAAAGGTTGTTGGACAAACTGGTCGAGAAGGGCATGCTCAACTCGTATGTAC